AAAAAAAAAAAAAAAAAAAAAAAAAAAAAGGAAAATAAACTCTAGTAATTCAAATCTAACTTTTCCCTATACATGCAAGTCTACGATGGCTATCATCTCCAATAACAACTCATTTCCCCACGTGCTTTTATAATTTTACTTCATTGTGCAGATAACTGATATACAGGTCAAATCCCATTACAACAAATCACATGCAACCAAGAGCTCTCTTTTTAACAAAAAGAGATTTTTGAGCCCCGGGCAGTGCTTCGTTAATTTTCATACTACAAAAGAAATTGAACCTTTAGTAGTAATGAATTTGACACTGAGAATTAAAATGAATGCCCAGCAATTGAAATGGGCAGGGTAAGCAGAGATAAAAGTAGAAAAAAATGAGAGAAACAAAAAAATGAGATTACACTTTAAAAAATAAAAAATGACAGACTAAAGTAAGATACAGCAATTCCTTGGTCCATTCCGGAATTTTGGTTGTGATAATCAGTCTTCTTTTTATAGAATCCCATATTTCAGAGTATTTTCAGATACATCTTCTCATATATAGACTCAACTCATTGTTAGTTATGGCATATACATTTTGTATGATAGAAGAAGACCTTAAGGTTTAGAAAGATAACTCTTTGCGGGGAGGGGTACCAGGGATCAAACTGGGGCCATTGAGCTTGCAAGGCAGGTGGTGGAAGCACTAAGCCAAATTCCTGGCCTTAGAAAGATAACTCTTTCTCTTAAGGCTGTGTTGGAGCTTAGAACCTAATAGAGACCTAATCCATCCAACCACTCTTACTTTCATAAATAAATATATATATATATACATATATATATATTAATTATATATGTGTGTGTATGTGTGTGTAATATGTGTGTGTTTTAGAGGAGTTTGTATTATCTGAATTTTTCATAATGGAAAGACCAATGTCCTTTTTTCCATTTGTTCCTAAATGTTCTAACCTGTGATTTGGCATTAGGAAAACATTCTGACCTATTTCATGAAGACATTGCTCTTCAATGACCAATTTGGTACCTTAATTTGTGAATCTCACAGAAAGTATGGCTCAAAATGGTTATAATGACTATCACCTCAAATTTTAAAAAGATCTGTTTATGAAATGGCATAATTAAAGTAGTGAAAATAGTCTGGTCTTGATGGTGTTGCAGACTGGTTTGATCCAGAGATATTTTTTAAGCCATTGGAATTTTTAAAGATATAGCCCATGAAAAATTCACATATTGCTGTTCAAATCACTTTAAAAAATTACCTACACACTGATGAACAATATAAGAAAAAAAATCAATTAAATTCAGGCTAGGTTTAAGGAGCAAATCACCTGTTCATTACAATTCTAATGGGTAATCAATCTATAAAAGAATAATAGCAGAGATAAATTTGGATAAATCACACTATAAAATGGAGTGGAGAACTATTTGCTCCCAAATTAACTTATACTGTACTAAAATGATTTTTTCCTAAATAATAAAATGCTTATGGAGTTTTTTTAGTAGTAAGTATTCTAACAATTGATTAAAGTTACCATTGTTACTATACATCTGATTTCATGACTTGGGACAAAGTGGTAACAATATGTTGTCTCTCCGCCATTAAATTCTTAGCTAGAATCATAAAACTTCTGAGCAACTAGTATTTGTGGTTTGGTTCAAAGATTTCTTTTTTGATCTCTATTTTCTTTTATTGGAACCTGAGCTGCACACATACACATAAGTACAGGCACACACAACAAGTGTGCACACAGCTGTATTTTTGCTTCTAGAAATGAGGCACATGGCCATGTTTCTTAATTATTCTTGTCATTTCACCCATAGCCTAGTTATTTGGATGGAAAGTAGAAAAAAATAGCTTGCTACACTTTATATACTACCTTTTCGAGTAGTACATAGAATGATCAATGAAGTATCCAGAATAATTAAGACAAAATATTTATAGCTTTTTTCTTTTTAATAATTTCTCCCTAAAGCAAATGTGATTATGGCTATATGGTGGTAATACTAGTGGCATATATGTGTATGTGTTTCAAAAATATGTCAGCACTGCAGATGTTTTAAAACTTCAGTCTTTTAAAAACTCAAGTCTCTATAAACAAGATGTACTGAACTATACAAAGGAAAATATAACTTGGGTACAGCTACATTTTCAAGTTGCTTTGTCTGTCCTCTCCCACATTCTTTTCCTTCTATCCTACTTCAGAATCTCAGCATCTGGTTGAAAAAAAATGTAGAATTCATTTGTAGAAATTCATATACACAATGAGGAAAGCAGGAACAAAACATGTCATTTCTTTACAGCAATTGTCAAAGTTTTGGTAAATCTAAATTGACTTCTGAACTGACCCTTAAATTTGTGTAATACTGAACATGCTAATTTTTTGCTTATTATACTGCTTGACAGGCAAGATGGAAAGAAATTGGATTATTTATTTAAGCAGAATGGTATTTTTAGATAATGAGGCTTCAGGGTAAGACACATAAATGCTTTGGCCGATATCATTAATGTTCTATTGTTGTCATTGAGTGTTTCCTTTTATTGCAATAGTTGCAGGGGTCAAAATGGAACCTCTATTGTCCATCCATAAATTCTATAGTTCTCCATAATGATTGAATGCATCTATATCCTCAGAGGCCGATGAAATGAGTTATGAAGTGTTGTTAGTCTTCTCACTTTAATTGAAAAGTAGTTTTTTGTTTGTTTGTTTGTTTGTTTATTTACCTCCAGTGTATATTGTGATCCTGGTAAATGGGTATGTGTTCTTATAAACTTCACATATTTGTTTATAATCTTTTGAATACATTGAAGCCTTATGGTCGTAATGTTTTGTCATACCTCCCCAATTCTTAGGATTGCGGTATACAGTCTGAAAGAATGTCACAGAATACCAGCAGAAGAGATGACTTCACACAGTCACTGACGTTCAGTGAAGAAACCAAAGGAGTGGAGGACATCATTGAGACAGTGAGAGCTATTCCCAACACTCATGAGTAGATTTAGCAAATTGGAGATTTGGTGAAGAAAACATGCTTTGCATCTCAGCTTATTCTTCCGTAAAGACATTTTCTGATTTAATTGTTTGGTTCAGGAATTCATAAAATAGCCATATTCTTATATATCAGTAAGTATGTATTGCTTGCATGATAGGTATTATATACAGATGTTTCTTGTGTAACAACTGAGTTACAGTCTGGCTACTGGAACAGTAAATGAATTGGTTGCTAAGTATGTACATTGCAATATTCAGAACAAATGGTTAAAGGAAATTCCAGCTTGATGACTTCATTTTTATTTTCATAACACTTAGAAACAATACTTTAACATATACTGAACATAAAACTGTAGCACTATTCAGTACAATCAGCCAAAGCTACAGCACTATATAAATAAGGTATACTGTACAAAGAAAACATTGAGGCTCCATAAACAAGATGTACTGAACTATGCAAAGAAAAAAAAGACAGGTGGTAAGACCTAGTGGTGAGTCATAAGTCTGAACAGCATACCTCAGTCATAAGTCTGAGCTGTTGTTAAGCAAGTAGATCATTAATCAAGGAATATCTCTATGAATGTATGGTGTTATATTTTAATAAATATGTATAACACAGTATTAAGGAACAATTCAGATAATATGTGCATAGAGCACATAAATTTATATATATATATATATGTATATGTATATATATATTTCAATTTTTTTGAGACAGGGTCTCACTATATAGTTCAGGCTGGCCTTGAACTCACTGTGTAGCTCAGGCTGGCCTCAAATTCACAGCAATCCTCCTGCCTCAGCCTAAGTGCAGGGGATTACATGCATGCACCACCATGCTCTGCTATCAATGCTTTAATTATATCATTCACAAATTTGAGTTCTAAATATACAAAAGTAAATGAATTATATATATGGATATGTAAACTGTGGACAATGGAATATTATTCAACATTAAAAAGAAATGAACTGCAAAGCCATGAAAAGACTTGAAGAAACTTTAAATGTATATTACTAAGGAGAGGAATCCAGTCTGAATTCTCCATGGTAGTGCACACCTGCAATCCCAGAATTTGGAGGCTGGGGCAGAATGATGGCAAAAAGTTGAAGGCCAGCCTGCCCACAGAGTGAGTTCAAATCCAATCTGAACTGAAGCAAGACTGTGTCTCGGGGAAAAAAAGAGTGTCTAGTCTGAAGTGAAAAAAAAAAAAAGGACTTTATATGTAGGATTAGGTTAACAGAAATACTGAGAGAAAGATTGAGATTTCTTATATCATAAGTGCATAGCTTCCCTACCATTAGCATCAAAATCGTTAACTAATAAATTTACATTGTGAGTATTACTAAAAAGTTATGGTTTACATTAAGGTTAATTCTTGGCATTGTACGTTTTATAGGTTATGACTAATGTATAATAACATGTACATATCATCATAATATCATGTAGAGTATTTTCATTGCTATTAAAAAAGAAAACTGTGCTCATATATTTGTTCCACCTCTTCCCCCAGCCACTGACAATTGTTGATCTGTTTATTGTCTCTTTAGTTTTACCTTTTGCATATATCATGATGGGGGACTCCTCAAGAGCATAGCCTTTGATACTGGATTCTTTTGCTTAGGAATATTCCATGTCTTCTCATAGCTCGTAGTTTATTATTTGTAGTGCTGAATAACATTCCATTGTCCACAATTTGTCATTTTTCTGCCTATTTAATAGTATCTTGGATACTTCCATGATTTGGCAAATATGAATAAAGCTGCTATAAACATCCATGTGCAGTTTTTAAAATATGGGCAGAAGTTTTCAATGTTGAGTAAATAATAAACAAGATGATTGTTGGACTGTATGGCCAGGATATGGTTAAGCTTGTAAGAAAATGTCAACCATCTTCCAAATTGGTTATATAAAGTTATCTTCCTGTAACCAATGATCGAGATCTTCTCAAGCTTTACATCCTCACTAGCACTCAGTGTTGTCAGTGCTCTGGCCTCAGTCATCGAATATGTGTGTAAGTAACATCTGACTGCTGTTTTAATTTGCATTTCCTTGATTACATATGAAATGGACCATATCTTTCTTGTGTTTAACTGCTATTTGTATACCTTCTTTGGAGAAGTATCTGTTGAGATACTGTCTTCTCTAGTAGATATGTCTTTTGTATATTTTTCCCAGTTCATGGATGTCTTTTTGTTCTCTTGTCATTGTCTTTTGCAGAGCAGAAAAATTTAACTTTAATGAAGTAGTTTATTATTTTTTTCATGGATCATTTCTCTCATGTTGTATCTAAGAAGACATTGGCATACACATACTCATGATAATTTTCTTCTATATTATCTTCTAAGAATTGTGTGGTTTTATACCTTTCATTTAGTTCTATGATTCATTTTGATTTAATGTTTGTGAGAGGTAGAGGTTCTGGGCCAAGATTCATTATTTCCTTTTTACTTCTGGGTGTCCAGTTGTACCAGTATCATTTGTTGAAAAAAATATCTCTTCCATTGTATTGCCTTTGCTAAATTGTTAAAAGTCAGTTGTAGGTTTATGTGGGTCTATTTCTGGGCTGTCAATTCTGTTTTATGGATATATTTGTCTATTTCATTTTCTTGTTTACTGTAGTTTATAAGAAATCTTGAAGTCAGGTACTGTCAATTCCGCAACTTTGTTTTTCTCTAATATCATGTGGGCTCTTGGGGATCTTTTACATTCCTTATAAACTTCAGAATCACTTTGTCAATACCCACAAAATATCTTGCTGTGATTTTGAGTGGGACTGCACCAGATGTATAGAACAGACTAGGAAGAACACGTCTTGACAATACTGAGTTTGTTGTCCATGAACATGTAGTATCTATTTAACTTTTTTATTTCATTCTTTCGTAGTTTCCTCCATATGTTTTCCACCATTTTTGAGGGTGCAAATGTAAACAATACTGCATTTTTAATTTCAAATTCTACTTCTTCCCTAGTATATAGGAAATAGATTGACTTTTGTGCATCAACCTTTATTCTACAAACCTGCTTATTATTTTCAGGGATTTTTTGTCAATTCTTTAGGATTTGCTACATGGTGATTATGTTATCTGTGAGTTTCATATCTTCCATTCCCCATTAGTATGCCTTTTGTTTCTTTTATTTGTTTGTTTTATTAAGCTAGCCAAAACTCCCACTCTCTATATTTTAGGTATTAATTGATAAAATAGAAAAAGTTGTAGCTGAAATAGAATGACTTTCTCTTTCTTCTCATGCCCGATACTGGACAGGTTGAGCACAACCTCTGTTAAATGTTGTAAAGGAGAGACTGAAGGCCAGGCCCACACGTTTTCAGAAATGGGTAGGCTATTGATTCTGTGAAGTAAAATAGACTGAACCTTGAGATTTTTTCAGGTTCTGGTCACAACTTCTCTTTGTCACTTAATTCTCTTTCTCCATGTTTCTGATAATTAAAAGTATTAATATTTATCTTATTAATGTGCTTCCTCTGAATTAAATAAGATAGATATAAAGTTTCATAGGAGAAATATAAAGAAATGTGAAAATGAAAGATCTCTGCATGGGTTTGCATGTGTTTTATCCTTTTCTTCCTGTACTTGTGCATTTGATATCAGCAAATGATCAAGAAGGGTAAACAGATTGGCCACAAATATGTTAAGTCACTTGCATAAATGAATTGGAATCATTATCACACCCTCTTGAGATCTAAGGCCTTGTTGTCTTTAAAAGATTGTAGCCTACACGATCTGTAATATACTTTGAAATTTATTTAGAAGGTAAATGGATAAGATATGTCATCCAAAATATATTAGTGAGATACAAATTTTTCTCATATTCCAAGAATGAAGGCAGATAAAATTTTTCTTTTGGCTTATGGATTATTAGATATGTTAAATATTTGTAATAAAAATAACAATTTTAGTTATTATTTTTCCTTAGGTGAATGGGTTACCATGATTAGATTTCCCATTATTAGATATGAAGAATTTTAAGGCAATAATAGACAAAAAGAAAGATTGTATCATGCTAAAAGTATTCCCAAGTTAGTAAATTCAGATTTAAAAATCTATCAAGCACAAATATACGATTGTCTTTTGTGTTTTTTATGGAGTTTATAAAAATTTGTTATGTGTTATACTTTGTTTGGGTTTTTTGTTTTTGGTACCGGGGATCGAACTCAGGACCTTGTGCTTTTGAGGCAGTCTGCAGAACCACTGAGCCACATCCCAAGTCCATGTTATACTTTGTTACAGCATATAATAAAATGAGTAATGATCTTCAAAACACTGTAAAATTGACTTTTTAAGTATATGGTGCAGTCTCACTAGTAAGCGTAAAGTAAAAATTACTTGATAGTTTTAGCCCCATCTTAAGGATCACATTGACTTTTTTTTTTTTTTTTTTGAGACTTCAGGTGAAAGAAGCATTGCTTTTGTTAATATTGCAGAATAACTCTGGAAAACATTCACAAAAACAAGCTCCTGATTGAAAGTCACGGTGAGAAAGGCATCTTTCTACAAGGTGGCAGCTCATAATCCTTCTTTCTCTGTAACATTTCTGTTAAACAGGCCAAAGTTTTTGTAAATAACCTGTCTACCGTGTGTGAGAAGTACTGGACTCTGGGACTCCATCAGACATTCCTGCTGATGCTAATCATTGGAAGATGGCTTCTCCCCATTGGGGGCACCATCACTAGAGACCAACTCTCAGAACTCCTCCTCATGTTTGTGGGGACAGCTGCTGACATCCTGGAATTCACCAGTGAGACTCTGGACTTGGAAAATGTGAGGTGAGCCCTGCAATGAAAAGACCTTTTCAAAGTCAGAACCACACACCTGTCTCTTTGTTCTGTTACATTTCTCATGAATAAACAATTTAGTATGGCATATGCCTATTGTTTAGACTGTAGCTTTGCTGCTATTTAGACACATACTGAGAAACAGCACAGTCTTTATAATAAAAAAAATGCATAAATGAGGTTTCTGTTGGAGAAAGAGACACATAATACCTCCTGTGAATGAGAATAGAAACTGTGTATTTGTATGACTACAGGTCAGGTGGGCCCACAGTTCCCTTGAAATCTGCAGTGAGTTTCACACCTAGCTCCTCTTGCACAGTCTCAAGTGTCCTGAACAAAGACAATTGTGAAATCTTCTACAGCCCAGCATAGCTACAATGTCAAGAGATGTGGAGAAATCTCTCTTTTCTCCAGTTGGAGAGTTTGCATTCCCTGGTGTGAATGGAGAACGGAGCGGGTGAAGTTGTATTTTATTAAAATTTATTTTTAGTCAGTTTTGTTCAAAGTACCCCAAGGCTTTTTGATGTAGATGCTTATAAATTAAAACTTATTGAGTTGGTACTTTTATTTTTGCCACTAGCAAATAAACTCAGAATCCATGATCACATCTGTTTATGGAACTACTTTCTTCCCATTAGGGATTTAAGTCTCAGTGCCTGCATGTACTTTAAGCTTGAGTTCTTTTGCGCTATGCTATAAAAATAAATTGGAATGAAGCTGGCTTTTAATGCTACAGTTTGCTTTATGCTGTGTTTCTCAAGTAACATAACATAAACCTTAGGAAAATACATTAATTTATTGAGTAAACATAATATCTCAATTATAGTATGAATTATATGTATAACCAGGTGTTATCTTCACATCATCATTTCTTGTTTCATTCATACTAATTTTTCTTTTAGCTTATTCGGGTGACATTCTTTTGAAAAGAATCAAATGTAAATTGATTCATTGTCTTCAAAATGTTTATATTAGTTTTGTAGTTTTAATGCCTTACAGTTGATCAGTGCTTTATATTATATTATGTATTTTAAGATACTTTTATGATAATTATAATACTATGCAATTACAAGGAAATTATGAACAAAGCATGACAGGGCACATAAAAATAATGAATATCAATAATAAGAAGAAATGACAATATAATGATAACAAATTATAGCTCTCTAGAAATCAAGGCATAACTGTTAAAAATACCTCAGGAGATGGAGGAAATACAGGATAGTAAAATAATGAGTAGGGTTATGTTTTGTGAGGTTGGTCATAAAAATGTGAAGTATGCGCAACTTGGCTATCTTAATGTACTCTTTCTTCATTTGTTCCATCCAGAAGTAACACCATGGGGAAATTCATAGACCTATATTTGCCAATAAATGTTGATTATTAAATAGTTTTAATTGCACAGCCAAACAACATTAAGAACAAAACACACAGCCTTGAAAGCCCTGAGGGATTCTGTCACTTACCACCTATGAATTTGTTTTCTAATCTGGCCAGCACTGTGCTAGGCTGAGACCGGAGAACAAATAGTGAGCAAATAAAGAACAAAAAGACACAGTTCCACCCCATCTGCAAGTGATGATTCAGTTCAATAAGAAGTTAGAGTGCATCTAATGTTTCAAGACACTGTAAGTCCCCATTTCTTCTGCCACCTACAAATTAATCTGAATGCTTCATGAATATATATTATCAAAATTTTAAACTTGTATCATAGTCTAAGCAAGATTATATTTAAACAACAGCTGGCCGTATATATTTCTGGTTCCCTGTGCATGGATAGAAAGCACTAGAAAAAATTCTCATGTACTGAACAAATACAGACCTTTCTCTTGTCATTTTCCCCTAAGCAATACACTGAAGCTCATTTGCTCAGTTTTTATGAATTTATATCGGTTTCAAAAATCCTATAATCCTGCAATTTTTTTCTTAATAGTATTAGCAGAGTTAAACAGCAAAAAAAAAAAAAACCATGTATTGTGATTCTGTAGTTAGTAAATTACTGACTATATTAATGCTTAGTAAATTATGGATTTGTGTCACCATAACTGCAACTGAATTTAAAATATGCCCATAACTCCAAAAAGATTTTTTATAACTATTTGCAGCCAATTTTTACTTCTGCCACCAACCATAGGCAACCATATAAACTTTCTGTCTTGTAAATTTTCCTTTTTTCGACATTTCATGTAAATTCCCCCATGCTATTACATGTTTCCCTCCTTTTGACTGTTAAATAGTTTCACTGAACATATGAACCATACTTTGTTTGCAGTAATAGATGTGTATGTGGATTGCTTATAATTTTGTGTTATTAACATGATGAGGTAAGCAGCATTCACCTGTGATGGCAGGATATGCTTTCATTTTCTTTGGGTAAATACCTAAGAGTACGATGGCTAGAATTATGTCAAGTACACATTTAACTTTTAAGAAACAGCCAGCCAAACTATTTCTAAAGTAGTTTTGCCATTTTGTATTGCCAGCTAGCAATGTATGACTGTTCCAGTTTCTTCATATACTTGCTAATAATTTTTCTTTTTCAGTAGAGAGTGTACAGGTGGTATCTCATTGTACATTTGATTTGCTTTGAAGCCAAAAACCACATTAAATTTGTCTATCTGTTCTATCCCTTAGGCTTTTTCTATGTAGAGGATTGTGCCATTTGTGAATACAGTATTCATTCTAATCTATAGGCCTTTATTTTTTTCTTTAGGTTATTAAAGTGGCTAGACCTTTTTTTGTTGACTAGAAGTAGAAAGGGTGAATGCTTCAATCTCAAGGAATAAACAGTCTTTCTTTATTAAGCATGATATTAGCTTTAGTTTTGGCATGGGTGTCCTTCATTAACTTGAAGCAATTTTCAAATTTTGGGGAGTTTTTGAATAAGTGTTGAATTTTGTTAATTTTTAATGCTTTCATTGAGATGATCATATATTAGTTGTCTTTCAGTCTATGAAAAGTTTATTACATTAAGTAATTTTCAGATATTAAATCAATCTTAATATCCTGGGATAAATTGTACGTGGTTGTGATGCAAAATTCTTTTTATATGTTGTTGGGTTCAGTTTGCCTTCACTTTATTAGTTTTCACATCTATGCTCATTAGGTGCACTGATTTATAGTATTCTTTTTTCTTTCTCTGGCTTTTGTACCAACATAGTACTGGCTTTATCGAGCATATCAGGAAGCATCCCTATTTTTCTTATTTGCTAAAAATTTTGCACAGCATTAGTGTTATTTCTTCTTTAATTATTTTATAGAATTCACCTAGAGAGCCATCTGAATAAAGATTTTCTTTATGGGAAATTTTTGTTTTTTAAAGTTACCAATTAAATATTATTACTCCTTATAGATCTAGTTAGATACTCTCCTTCTTCTTAAGTCAGTTTTGGTTATATTTTTTTTTTGGAATTTTTTCATTTATCTGAGTGCGCTATATTTTGGCATATGATTGTTTATAGTAGTCATTTACATAGATATTCCTTTCTTTTGAGTCAAGTGTGGTGCTCTCTGTTTCATTTCTAGGTTTGGCAATTTATACATTCTCTGCTTTATTTTTTCCCAGAGGATGGAAATGTTTATTTATTTTGTTTGACTAGATATATTGATTCTGTTGATCTTCACAAACCACAAGTTTCTATTTTACTGACTTTTCTCTGGAATTAATTTTTCCATTTCAGATATTTTTAATTTTTCCCTTATATTTGCATTGGAGTAATTTACTCCCCTCCCAGTTTCTTATTGTTCAATACTAGATTACTGATCTGAGACTTTTCTTCTTTTCTAATGAAGACATCTAAACACTAAATTTCTTTCTAAAACTGCTACCCCAGTATTCTGTAAATTTTGATATGCAATCTTTGTGTTTAATACAACTGAAAATATTTTGAAATTTTACCTTTGATTTTTCCTTTGACTCATTGAGTGATTATAAGTGAGCTCTTTAACTTCCATAAATGTGGGGGTTTCTCAAATTTATTTCTGTTAATTTTTGTAAAATTCTATTACAGTCTGAGAATATTATTTAAATTGGTTCAGTATTTCTAAATTTATTGAATCTTGATACATGGTTTGGCATATGGCCTGTTGTAGAGGATGTTTTATGTACGCTTGAGAAGAATGAGCATTCTTTTTCATACTTTATCACAGGTGAACACTACCTTGATTCTAGTAAAGCACAACATAGTCATCCCATTTAATCACAGCCCCGTTCTTCATTGCTCAGAGCTCCACTTCATTCCCTTCCTGTTTTGCTCTTACAGTTTTCTGGGTATATGATATCTTTGTATATTTTAAATCTGACAACATAACTTTATAATTTTGATTCTTGTCATCTTTTGGAAGCTTTCTTTTACTTCTTTTATTTTTGAGACGGTATTGTTACGCAGTTCAAGTTGACCTTCAACTCAGTATGTAGCTCAGGCTGGCCTCGAACTCATGGTAATCCTCCTGCCTCAGCCTCTCGAGTGCTGGGATTATAGTGCACAACCATTGCTGACTGTGTTTCCTTAAAAGAGATTAAAAGAAGAAAATATGTACATGGCTCTATGATATATTTTTTGTCATTTTTGTGTACTTGTATATTTACTACTTTGATGTTTTAAATTTCTTCATGTAGATTTAAATTACTGTCCATGTTTTTCTTGTTAAAGGACTTAATTTACTGTTTCTTCGAGGTCAAATCTATAAACAAATGTTCTGGTTGTTCCTTCTCTGGAAATGTGCTGGTTTTGCCTTCATGTTTAAAGAACAGCTTTGTTGTATATAAAATTCTTGGTTGAAGGGTTTTTTTTCCTTTCATCATTGATTATCTATAGCTACCATTGCATTGTCTTATGACCTTCCTTATCAGATGTCACCTATTACTTATTAAATTGTTGCCCTGTATACGAGGAACCAATGTCCTCTGTCTATTTTCTAGATATATGTTTTCTATGGGTCTTCCAGTATTTTGATTTGCGTCTAGTTGTGTATAAATTTGCTTTTAATCA